TGTAGCTCCCTGGTTTCGCGTTAACACCATGACGAACAAAATAACCGACAGCGAAACCAAGCGAGCTACAGAACTGCAGCTACCCCAGAATAAGATAATTTAATACATAGCCTTGACAAAAAAGCATTATTTTTCCTTGACTTAATATTGAATTTTTTTCTATCTGTGTAATTCCATGTGGAATTCCTAATGAGATTTGAAGTTCAGTTCAGAACTAACGGTTTTGCAATATTAGAGGTTGTGAACTTGTCCATGGAGGCTGCAGATTAATAAATATTGTATTCACTGACATTTATTTTGTATTTACACTTGTAATAAGTTCCACAGTATTTCTTACTGGTGTGACTACAGTGACTATAGTGTGTAGTGTTTTTGTTTTGTCGAATGTTGTCAGTTGTTTGTTTTGTGTTCTTGGAATTCTGTACAAAAATCAACAAGGGTTAAATAGGTATGTCATTTCCATATTTTGCAGTATATCGTAGACAGTACTTGTATAGTCTGTTCTCCAGCATAAATATTGGATTGTTCGGAAGCATGAGATTGTAATGTACATTTCGTTCATTAACGTTGTACGATGGATGACGCTTTCTCAGGGGCCTTCAGAGTCCTATGTCCTAGTCCTTCCTATGTCCTGACCCGTTTACTTACTTGTTGTAAGTGTCTGAGTGGTATATGAAAATTGAGACCAAGTAAACGTCAGAATATTAAAAAAAACAGAAACCTAAAAATCAGTTGCCCATGCCAAGAAATCCGCTGAATCAAAACAATCTGTCAGCTGTCGCCGTCCACAGCATGATTTTACACATCGAAATTGAGAATCACAGGTGTATACATATTGCATAGAAATGGACACTAAATACATCTATCCTGGCCAGCAATCAAATCATCAATCTTCATGAGTGACGTAACTGACATTTCCATCTATTTACTTCTATTCCCACTATCCTAAGACGCTCAAGTGAATTTTGTCAAATTCGCAAGTGTGCGTATTTTCGTACAGTGACGTAAACATTGCTACAATCAAAGACGCGCTGAACAGAAAGTCCATTCTGGGCTGGTATCATTGTCAAATTTTGGGGAGTAGAGGACTATTTATATGGGAGACGTTACAATACGGAACTATTTAAATTGTTCGATTTGCATATAAAAATCATTTATTGGAATAGAGCATGTTCCATATTCACCAAAAAACAAAATTGTTATGTTTATAGACACACAACAGACTCGATACAATAGAAACCGTCCTATCCGAGTGACCTGCGTTCTTGAAAATCGAGTCTTATCGCCCCTGCGTTTCCGAGCAAAAAAACGTTGAGGCCAAAAACGACCAATTTTCGCCCAATCTTCGATGAATTTTTCATAATTTAGCTAATTCAATCCAGTATTTATTAGAGACGTCCGGAGAACCAAAATTTAGGACGTGAATCGCTGCGGCGACGAAAAATCAGCGAAAATGGCCAAGGGGGTGAGGGACTGCATTTCAAAAACATATTTTATATATAGGGTATATAATTAGGTGATTACCGGTACCGGTACTCTTCAACTTATGTATATTGTTAATCTGTATGCATAGATGACCTTCAACCCATGCTATGGTCTTCCCTCCCTTTGTAGTGCATCCTCCTTCCTCATGCTATGATCTGCCCCACATATGTAATGATATCCCACTCTGTGCTATGATCTGCCCCACATATGTAATGATATCCCCACCCTGTGTTATGATCTGCCCCACATATGTAATGATATCCCCACCCTGTGCTATGATCTGGCCCACATGTGTAATGATATCCCCACCCTGTGCTATGATCTGGCCCACATGTGTAATGATATCCCCACCCTGTGCTATGATCTGGCCCACATGTGTAATGATATCCCCACCCTGTGCTATGATCTGCCCCACATATGAAATAATATCCCCACCCCATGCTATGATCTGTCGCACATATGTAAAGATATCCCCACCCTGTGCTATGATCTGCCCCACATATGTAATGATATCCCCACCCTGTGCTATGATCTGCCCCACATATGAAATAATATCCCCACCCCATGCTATGATCTGTCGCACATATGTAATGATATCCCCACCCTGTGCTATGATCTGCCCCACATATGTAATGATATCCCCACCCTGTGCTATGATCTGCCCCACATATGTAATGATATCCCCACCCTGTGCTATGATCTGGCCCACATGTGTAATGATATCTCCAACCCTGTGCTATGATCTGCCCCACATATGTAATGAGATCTCCTCCCTGTGCTATGATCTGCCCCACATGTGTAATATCCCCCACCCTGTGCTATGATCTGCCCCACATATTTAATGATATCCCACTCTGTGCTATGCTCTGCCCCACATATGTAATGATATCCCTACCCTGTGCTATGATCTGCCCCACATATGTAATGATATTCCCGTCTTGTGCTATGATCGGCCCCACATATGAAGGGACTGTGTTTCAACGAATGATGTTTTGGAACTATATCTCTGACATGCTTTTATGATTCATGTTCAAACTTTATATACTTTAATTCTTGATTACTTGAGTGTACAATTACTTATTAGCAACTTAATTTGATACTTGCAATGCAAGTACTCTGGGTGCACCTTTATAAAATGTGTTCATTTTGTTTTTTCTTAAAAACTACCTGCTCAAGAAGACCTGTCAGATTTATTAATTTTGGGGTGATACATGTACAATTATTTGTTTTTAATAGTGAATTTTCTGGCATTTTTAGTAAAAAATTATATAAATTGACTTCTTGAAAACTGCCTGTCCTGTTACTCATCATTTAATAACATTATCAACTTAAAAAGACACACAATCTCCAAAAACGGTGGAGTTATTTTGAGCATGTGGTCGCTTGTCGATTATTCTTACGATCTGATGTTATTTGAATAACACATTACTGTGTAATAATCGATTAATTTTTTTCTCAGTTAACAAGTTTTCAAGTGGTATTAGCCAATGATGGTAGCAGTACATATGCTATATATTTATACGATGATGAAAATCAAAGCTCAGAGATAAATGTAGAATACTGGCCACTGAGTGGTTTCTATGCTGGAGACAAGTCTCGATACTATAACGTGCCTGTATCTGACGTAAAAGATGTTTACCTTCTCAATAGGTAAGAATGGTGTGAATGTAAAACTCTTCATCATTGGGCAGCCATATTTTAGCTTCGCTGTCGACTTTGTCGAGCATGATAATATCTTTAATTCTCTAATTTTGGTGAATATTTTTGTAATTTTTGGTAAAAAGTGATATTTTCGACTTCTTGTTAAAAACCAAAAGTCCAATTGCCTTGATATTATTTATATAGGTACTACATGTGGACCTCTCTCTGATTTGTTCATTTCATGATGATATCTTTAATTCTCTAATTTTGGTGAATATTTTTGTCATTTTTGGTAAAAAGTAATATTTTTGACTTCTTGTTAAAAAACGCAAGTCTGATTGTTTTGCTATTATATATATAGGTACTACAGGTAGACCTCTCTTAGATTTGTTCATTTCATGATGATATCATTTTTTGTCATTTTTGGTAAAAGTGATATTTTTGAATTCTTGTTGAAAACAGCAAGTCCGATTGCTATACATACTATACATATTGTTCATTTTCTAATGATATCTTCTGTTCTTTAATTGAAATGTGCATTGCTAACAGTGGAGCTATCTCAGCTGACAGTTTGAACAATATATACGTTCTTGTGATATAGAAATATTATTGTCATGGTGTGATTTGATTACAGATATTCCAATGTAAACACATTAGGATTTTGGATGTGGCAGATTGGTATGGAAGATATGGGTAATAGTAATATTGTGGAACCAACAAATACAGACATCTCATCTGGTGATGGGGATTCAGTTCAACCAAGTACACATGATAATATTAATCCACCAGAACCTGATATTGCTGGTAAAGAGTTTAGCCTTATTACATTGTGAATTATTGCACTCCCAGTTACTCTGTAAGATCTATAAGAATACAGTACTACTCAGGAATACATCTGTATATTACAGGGAAACACAAGTCAGGAATACATCTGTATATTACAGAGAAACACAAGCCAGGAACACATCTGTATATTACAGGGAAACACAAGTCAGGAACACATCTGTATGTTACAGGGAAACACAAGTCAGGAACACATCTGTATATTACAGGGAAACACAAGTCAGGAACACATCTGTATATTACAGGGAAACTGAT